GATGGCCTACGGAGGGAAGTTCACCTGCAATTCAAACAGCCGGACTTCGCGGCGTCTCGGCAGCTCATTGCACGTTCCACGATTGTTCGACGTTCTTTTGGTAGGCTGTCCGGTTTGACGTGCCTACGTGCACCTCGGCCATCGCTCCTTGCGGCTGCTCGTCACACCCGCTACCTGGTTGATCCTGCCTGTAGTCATATGCTTGTCTCAAACTCTTAATTCGTTGGACTAATCTGATGAATTTTACACTATTCTATTTTGAGGAAGAGAAGGATATCACATGAAAATTCAGCAGTTACAATCGTTGTCCATGCAGACGGGAGGAAAAAATAACGATTCATGAAAAAGTTGTGATAAGGCGAACAGGAGGGGGTAAGGGGGTTCACGGAGGGAAAAACAGTGGTTGTGAAATTCTACGAAAACCGCGTATCTATTTCGCACTCGTTTGTCGCAGGGGTGAGGGACGAGCCAGATTGTCCGCATGGGCCTCGTGGTGCGCCACCAAGGCCTAACAAGGAACCATGAGCATTACTTTGAACGTAGGTAAGGCGTGCGTGACAAAAAAAGAGGAAATATAAGCTGAAAGTACTAGGGGGATTGATCGTATGGGGTCCATTACACTTGGGATGTTGTCGTTACGCGCATGAATGCTTACGTGCGCGCGCCCTCGTAGTGCACCACCAAGGCATACCAAGGAAACATGAGCGTTACTTTGGCACTACGGTAGGACGTAGGTGACCAAAAAAAAAGGGAAACATGAACTCATGTGAGGAAGGAGGTTGATCACATGGGGTCCATTACACTAGGGATGTTGTCGTTACTCGCATGAATCATTACTTGTGCGCAGAGAGAGAGTGAACCACTAAGGCCTACCAAGGAAACACGAACTCATGTGAGGCAGGGGGATTGATCACATGGGGTCCATTACATTTTGTCGTTGCGCGCATGAATCGTTATTTGCGCCATCGTAGTGCACCACCAACGCCTACCAAGGAACCATGAGCATTACTTTGAACGTAGGTGAGGCGTGCGTGACAAAAAAAGAGGAAATATAAGTTGAAAGTACTAGAGGGATTGATCACATGGGATGTTGTCGTTGCGCACATGTATCGTTACCTGCCCGCGCCCTCGTAGTGCACCACCAAGGCCTACCAAGGAAACATGAGCATTACTTTGGATGTAGATAAGACGCAGGTGACCAAAAAAATGGGGAAACATGAACTCGTGTGAGGGAGGGGGATTGATCACATTCGCATTTCGTCGTTTAGCGCATGAATCGTTATTTGTATACTCGTCGTGGACCACCAAGGCCCACCACGGAACATGTGCATTACTTTGGATGTAGGTAAGACGTAGGTGACCAAAAAAGGTGAAAACATGAACTCATGTAAGGGAGGGGGATAAATCACATTCGCATTTTGTCATTAGCGCGCATGAATCGTTATTTGCGGCCTCGTGGTGGACCGCAAAGGTCCACCACGGAACATGACCATTACTTTGGACGTAGATGACCAAAAAAAGGAAAACATGAACTCATATGAGGGAGGGGGATTGATCACTTTCCCTGTATTCTTATTTTGCATGGGAGGGGGATTCATCACATGGGGTGTATTATGTAATCCGTATACTCCACAGTTATGAGTTTATGTGAACAATATCACGAGTCAGCGTTAACAAATCTGTATTCACAACACTTATAGGCATGTTGGTCGCTAGCAACGATCGTCGAAATACCGTGTGTTAATATGTAATCCTTGTACTCCATATATGAAAGTTGTTCTAACTAACATTGCATATCATGGTGAGAAACAAGGTAGTAAATGACCGAATAGTATCACAATTGTGAATTGATATGAAAAATATCACTAGTCAGCGTCAACAAATCTGTATTCACAACACTTATAGGCATGTTGGTTGCTAACAACCTTCGTCGAATAGGAGAGGTCAAAGAACATCATACATTGCATTACAGAAATAAAAAACCAGGAAAAGATGGATTGTTTTATACCGTTTGTTTACTATGTAATCCCTATACTCCACAGTTATAAGTTGATGTGAAAAATATCACGAATCAGCGTCAACAAATCTGTATTGGTTGCTAACAATTGTCCTCG